TGAGTGCTTGCACATGCTGTGTCTGTAATCAGAAAAACTTCTATTCAAAGGAAATACTTTTCTATGTTGTAACATATATATTTGGAGGACTTCTGAGTAGAAAAAAAATAGATTTTTGGGTAAAATAAAAAAAGATACCCAAATAAAAAAAAACATGGTAGATGCACTGGGGTGTACTTGGAGGGTAATGCATCCAGCCTCCTTCTCCAAATATTCGTGCTTGTACTTTGTGTTCTTCCTCCTTGATGTTTCTCCTCCCTTTGCCTGCTGTAGCATCCCGCTGCCATGGGGCTCAAGGCACGAGAGCAGCCCAGATGTGCAGCGGGCCATCCCTCACCCCTACTGCCTTGCACAACTGCCTGTAGCATTTCTACCCTATGTGATGCTCACAGGGACTGCCCTGCGTTAGGAACTCAGCAGGCTGAACAGATCCCAGGGCTGGAAAGGAGCCGTTGGGCTGGGAAAAGCGCCAGGCTGGTGCTTCCTCACTGCACTTCCCTCTCTGTCACCACTGAATGTTGCCCTGCTCCCCCAGGACAGCAGGTTCCAGCAGGTTGGGAAGCGGCATCACCCACTACATCCTATTTTCATTTTTTTTGTCTATTGCTGCCTTTAAAGGAAAAACATGCAGTCTACAGCGTAAACAGGAAGGACGTATTGTTTTTTTTCTATTTAAAAGACATTATGAATCCCCTGCAACTTCCAGGTGCTTTATCACCCCAAATTAGGCATTAGAAGGTTTCCGAGCGATTCAAGAGCAACTAGGAATTCAGCAGGAAACCCAGCTCTCCTCCCATCCCCCTGCGTCTGGGTTGCGCAGTACCAACATGTCCCTCCTATATTTCTTAATTTTCCTAACTTCACCCCTGAACATGCCAATTTGCCAGGCAAATCCACAGCCAGTTTGCACAGCAATAAGGCAATGTGCTAAAAAGGGCGGTGTCGCAAGGGCAATTTGTGCAACAGAAACGGGCTTTATTTTGTTTTTTGCATCTGTTGCTTCCTTTCTCTTAAGAAAGAGATAACAATCTGAAGGCCAAGTGACGGAAAAGGCAGCAGAAACCCCCAGCCTTGACTCCTGAGCTGCAACGTCCTGTGTGATTTCTCCGCAGGTCAAGCTAGGAAAGCTGCAGTCTCTGCATGTTCCCTGGAGAGGGAAGCGGCCTGAGAGTCCTGCAGATTCCCATGGAAAACCTCAGGCTGCTGTAAGCCCTTCTGTGTTCTCCAGCTGGCCTGCCAGCGTGGGCTGAAATCCTGGCTGACTGAGGGGTCAGCCAACTAAACCAATCCTTATCCCACTAAAATGAGCTCCACTGGGGAGGAGCCCAAAGGAGGCCGAGGCCTGGCACGGGGGCGGGTGGCCTCGTGGCCTTGCAGCTCACGCGGCTGGAGCGGTTGGTGTGCGCTAAAAGCTGCGGCGGAGGCAGGAAGGAAGGGTGCTGTGATCTCCTTCCTGGAGGACTCGCCCTCTGCAAACCCCACGGGGCCGCAAGCTGGGAAGCTTTTAAGCCCTTTTAAGTGCCTTTCGGGAGCCGTGAGGAGCCTTCAGCCTGGGACGGAGCTTCTGCCTTGAACGCAGTCCTGGAGCAGAGCAGGCAGCTTGGCCTCGGCGCTGCTCCGGCCTTTCCCTGCCCTGGGGACATGCTTTCCTTTGGCAAGTGCATGGACTTGCAGGAATCCAGAGCATCGGTTCGAGTTTCCAATACCTTTCAACCAGCAAACCGTGCCTCACCAGCACTTCATTTTCACCCAGGTGGTGGAGCAGCTCGTGGGAGACGGCATTCAGGTTTTTGCAGGTTTATGACTGCTTCTAGCAGCAGCACTGAGCTTAGCTTGCTGAGGCCTAAATGCCACCTGGGGGCCAGTTCTATTCTCCGGGAGCCTGGTGGGGACTTGGCTTCAGTCTGCCCTGGTGCATGTTGAGCTCCTGCTCTTGGCTCTTCCCGTCGGTTGGTGTTTGGCCACGTGGGATGGTCCCGGGCTGCGCCTGGAACGGGAAGCAACTAGGAGGGGGACATTTCCTTGCTGCTTGCATCGAGGTGTCAGGGTCCTGAGGACACTAATTGGCCTTAAATTGGCTTCGTGTGGGCCCCATGTACCCACTGCTTCAGGAGTCCCATCTCAGCTCAGCCCTGGGCCTTGGCGATGCCCTTTGGCCCTGCTAAGACCATGCTCTGGCCATGCCACGACCGTGCTGCTGGTGCTGCAGAGCAATTCCCTGCGCCCTGAATGCACAGGGGGGCCAGGGCCATCCTGGCGCACGTCTGTGGGCCCCAGGGATGCCCACAGCACCCACTGTTTAGGGGGAAGTGGAAACCGCGGCAGAGCCATAAATACAAACCTGGGCTGGAAACCCTCACGAAAGCTGGTCAGCTTCGCCCAGGCAGGAGCCAGCCCAGAGCAAGGGGTAAACAGGGGTTGCTGAATAGGGCAGAGCCCCCTCCCAGGTTCACAAGCAGGATGGGTTCACAAAGGAAAGTCCTCAGATAAAAATGCGTTTATTAGAGCAGCTGCAAGGAGGAAAAGAGGAAAAGAAGGGTTAGGCTATTTCTCAGCTTTTACACACGCACACGTTTCAAAGCAGACCTCCCATGCAAAGGTTGTTGACAGGAGATGCTTCAACGCCAGCTGAAGTACTAAAACTCAGGAAGCACAGAAGGCCACATCATTATTCAGTTAAGAGGCACGCGGATGGGAAATGACCTAAGGGCAGTCTAGGGTGCTGTCCTAACCTGTCATCCTCCCCAAGGGCCAGTTAGTCATCGTGCAGGCGGAGGGCACGAGCCCAGCCAGCCGCTGGGGTGCCCTGCAGAAGGCACAAACCAGGGGCACCATGAGGACCCATCTTCGCCTGCAGCAGCAAGAGCAGCCACCCCTGAAGACTAACAGCCTGACCACTTGCTTCATTTTAAGGAGGAGGTTGCATCCATCAAAGGCACAGAAGGGAAGCGGGGCAGAAAAGCAGCATTTTAGCGAGCATTTTGCTGAGTGCTTGCACAAAAAGCACTGCCTTGTTGGTGCTAGCCTACAACGGCAGCTTACGCTTTCCTCATTACACCAGACGTTTTTCCAGCTCCTTCCTGCTGCCCTCATCGTGTGAGCAGAGCTTTCCGGCAGTCAGAGGGCTGACTCCTTAGTTGGCTTCCTGATTCGGTTCTCGAGGCTCTTTATGCATCTGCTAAGAAAGCACATGGCAATGAACCCGTGTCCTCACACTGCCACAGCTCCGGAGGTGGTCGGCCCCAGGGGATGTGCCCAGCCGGCTCCTGGTGACTTGCTGGTGGCAAGACGCTTGGCCAGGGAGCTGCCTTGACAAGCACTTGCTCCTCTGGCCATACAGAGATGCTGCCGCATCCTCTGGGGGTATAAAAGGGATTTGGAGTGTGAGTAACTACTGGGAGTGACCGCCCAGCATGGCTGTGCTTGCAGAAGTGCTGTTGAAACACAAGGACCAGGCTCATACCTAGTCTAAGGACCAGCTGCTGAAGATGCTTTGTGCACTGCCTAAACAGCACAATAACAAAAGCAGCAGGTAAGGAGTCCCTTAATCATAGAATCATTGTGGTTGGAAAAGACCTTCAAGACCACTGAGTTCAAGGGTAAGCCCTTCAACACCAGGCCTGTTAAATCATGTCCCTAAGTGCCTCATCTACCTGTTTCTTGAGCACCGTCAGTGATAGTGACTCCAGCACTTGCCTGGGCAGCCTGTTCCGATGCTTGACCACTTTTTCCCATGCAGAAATTTTTCCTAATATCTAACCTGAACCTCCCCTGGTGCAACTTGAGGCCATTTCCTCTTATCCAATCAGTGGTTATTTTGGAGCAGAGACCGACCCCGCTTCCCTACAGCCTCCTTTCAGGTCGTTGTAATCGTCCAAAGCCTTCTTGTGTCTCAAAGGTAGGAGGCAGCCCGTAACGCAGAGGCAGGTGCTGCAGGAGCAAGTCTGCTGGTGCGGGAAGGAGACCTCCCTAAGAGGAGCTGGGGGCAGGACATGAAGCAAGGAGCAGAGGTGCAACCATTTAGCGCCGAGCTGGTGGCTAACAGACCTGGTGGGTTCTTTTCACATCTCATTTGTAACCATGTGTAGCTGTTTCTGGGTTGGGTGCGCCAACCCAACCCAGGGTAGGGGGGCTGAATGGTAGGAGAACACGAGGTTTTTAGCCTCTCTACTTTTATATCATTCTTAATTAAAAAAAAAATTACCAAGCAATGCATCTGTCAGGGTAGAGCAGCCCTAAGAACTGGCATGCTCAGGACACAGCATGTTCCTCCAGGCACCTCTTTCATGGTACCAATATGGGCAGGGCTTGGGGGATGCAAATGTCCGCTAGCAGCAATACCCAGGGAAGCTCCTTGGTGCTCTTGAACCTGTAGGTCCCATGGCTGAACTGCTACCTCTGGTCACCATCGAGCTAGTTTCACGCCCACCCAAAGCTGCCAAGATGAGGACAAGACCTGTGCCATTCTGCAGGAAAGCAGGTGGGCAAATACTCCTAGCAGCAGCTGAGCAGCTGCTAGATCAACTTTTTTTTTTAAAAAAAACCTGTAGCTCATTAGCCCTGCATTAATCAAGAGTTTAACATAAGTTAAATAACAGTCTTGCAACAGAAGAAGAAATTCAAAATGGACATCTAGTAGCAGTGCATTACCAAGGTGGTCGTGCCCTGTGCGTCATGGGTGACCTGCAAGTTTTCCATCTTTCTCTTCTCCTTTTTTCTCATACGACCTGCAAATAAAGGAGCAGCCAAATTCCTCTTGCCACTGAGGTTTCCATAAAGTCAGGCACTTAAGTCAGCACCTCACACTTCCAGAGAGATGTGAAGAATAGCCAGCTGCAGGGAGACCAACTTAAAAAAAAAATCTGGCTTTTTCTTTTAAACTAAAAGCATCTTTTCTCAACACCCCCTGCAAGGAAGGGGTGACAGCTAAGAGCAAGCATCTGCCAAGGGGGCAGAGATGCTAATTATGATCCTGAAATAGGTGGAAGGAAACCATGGGGCTACATACACCATAGGAGGAGGAAGGCCACCATCACAGGCAGGACGACTGCAGCTGCCAGGACGAAGCTCAGTGTTAGACTGATGGACTCTGAGCAGCCTCGCTCTGCATGAGAGAAAGAGAGAACTGCTCAGTGTTTGGCCCTTTGGCCAACATCTCTCTCAAATAGTTACATGACCTGAATTTAATCTGTCCCACCACTCCCCATAATGAAGACGAGCAAGGGACAGAATAGTATAAACCTGGGCTACCCTTTACCATGGAGCTGCTGGATGTTTTCGAGCATAAGGATGGTGAACAGTAGGAGGACGATCACTGCAGTGGTGGTTGCAGTGTCCAGGGCGACACAGAACCCTAGGAAAGGAGAAAACTGCTGACAGGTGAGACAGAAATGTGCAAGGGATACAGGCCTGGAGCAGCGGAGCTTAGTAGGCAGGCAAGCAAGCTATGGCCAGTGTCTCCAGATGTGCCCCTCGACACGCACCTGGGCTCTCCCAGCAGTGAAAACTTGCCGAATTTACTCTTAGACTCCTAACAGGCCTTTTCTGACAGAGGTTTAGATCTTAAACAGCAACTCACATCTTTTGGTCCTGTAGTAGATGAGAGCTGCTGGTCTGCACACCTGTGTGACCGTGAGGAGGGCAGTTGTTATAATTGTAGCAAACAGGAAAAGACAAAGCAGTACGAAGGCAGCAGATACACCTGTTGGAGGCAGAATTAAACCAAAACTTAAGACTGAAATGCATTTTTTTTCTCGCTGAGGCAGTGAGAAAAAGCTGGGGAAAGTGTTTTGCTCAGTGACGTGCTCAGTGATCCTGCAAGAAGCCACTGGGCCTTTAGTGCTCCCCCCACCAGCAGCCACTCTTCCATCTTCGAGAAGTTCTGGAGAAGGGATGGTGGCACTTGAAGAATGCGAAAAGACCAATGCAGCACTCAGGTTTTAAAAGAGAAGAGAGGGAGGACTCTACCTTCAGTTTCTTTAAATCAAATACCACTAGATCAAAGATGCCACCTTGAAAACAAAGATGAGAAACAAAAGTACTAAAACCCAAACCAGATGAAGCAAGCTATTCAATAAGATCCTACCTTCTTGTTGCATCCAGAGGGAAGTGGTGGCAAGCAGGAAAAGAGAGGAGACACACACTAGTACTTGGATAAAAACAGCCATCCATCTCCTCACTTTTTCTCCTAGGAAGAAGGAAAATAAACCCAAGTAAGATCATAACCACATTTGGAATGGCACAACCTGCAAAGGGAGGGCAAACAAAACTTTTTTTTTTCATGTAGAATTTAATTCTTATGAGATTGAAAACAAAACAAAACAAAAAACAAAAGCAAAGAGAAAACCTGGTAAACTTCAGAGTGCTTTGCTTGATTTCAAAGCAGCCAGGAGAAATCAGCCAGTCTTGGGATTGTTCCATTCTGAACAGGTCCATCTAGAAAGACAGACTTTACACCACATCTGCCCAGTTTCTACCTCCTATGAAAACCTGACAAGTGTTGGATTTCCTCTGGAGACCCTTTTCATTGGGAAGGGTCCCCATGGTACATGTCACATATAGCAGGCATAGAGAAGTCCTGCAAAGAGCCTGTCCTTAAAGGCAAGAACTAACACCACAGCCTTCAAATGCCATCAGCGTAATACTGAGAGACAAATACACATGGGATAACTTTCCTGTCAGTTAGAGGACTTCCTCCCTGCCCTCCCCATGGCCTCTGATGTTCTTGGGATTATTCTTGGTGGGCAAAAAAACATGTTAGCAAGTTACAAAAAATGAGTGTGGGAGGACTTAGCTGGCTATGTCTTTACATTTGTTTTCTGTACACCAACATGCATGTTGTTACTGAAGTGGCCATTTTAACCGGTAATATTACTGAGTATGGATCTATAGCAGTATGTCAAGTTATGACCAGCGTGCTTGGTCACTGAAACCTGCGCTCTTAGGCAGAGTGCACAGTCTGGTCAGCTATGAGGACCTTCCGGGGGAAGGCTCTTCCCATGTAAGCTTTGATAATCTAAGTCCTGCACTTTTTATTTTTTCCTAAAGACGTCCAGGGAACAGGAAAGGAATGATTTGTGTCTGGTAAACTGGTGTTTTTGAGTGCCTCCGCTTTCCAAAAAGCCATTTGGAGTGAACTATTTTGAAGAAGTTTTATTTCCTTTGCAAGCTACAGAAACCTAAGGAGGACCACATGAATTGAGCACACTTCTTCACACTACTGAAGCATCACAGACTCAAGTAAGTAGTCAGAAGGGGCTGGCTAGGCTTTCTGCTATCATCTGTCCCGCTCCTCTGCAGAGAGGAAAGAGTTTAGTTTGTGAACTTGGGTGCCACCCTGCAAACCAAGACCCAGGCCTGACATGTAACCAAGCTTACCAAGTTGTTTCTCTGGCTGACAGAGCAGGACAACGAATGGTATTGTAGAGCCTACAACACACACCAGTGCAACAGCAGCCATTCTCTGGGCATGGTGGAGAACAGGCGGCAGACCTGCAATGAAGGGAACAGTGACATCTCACCACTGAGGACAGCCCAGAAACACAGAAAGGCTATGGGTATCCCAGGAAACTGCAAAATGCTGGGAAACTTTTGGGGAAGACTCCCAGGTCTTTCCTGCTTGGGAATGCACAGGCGTGACAGTTGCACCTTGCTGGGGCTTGGAGACAGTGTTCTGTGAGCCAAAACTTGCTGCCAGGAAAGGGAGAAGACCAGGCCTGGTATGGCAGACAGATGCACAAAGCAAATCAAGTGCAAGGCAGCAGCACTAACCTACCACCATCACTTGGAGCTCTGCTTCCTTCCAGCTTACTGCATTGCTGGCATTGCAGGAGTAGGAGCCACAATCCGCCCTCTCCCCTTTCTCAATCCGCAGCACGGTACCGTTTTTAGAGAGATGGTAGAACCTTTCTGGGGGGAGAGGATGACCGTCCTTCTTCCAGGAGATGGCATCCACTCTTCCTTGGGACAGCATGCAGAACAAGTGGATGGGTGAACCCACCAGGCCTGAACTACCCTGGATCTTGGGTTGGGGTACAATTTCTGAAAGAGAGATCAACAGAGTGGCATAAGGAGATTGCAGCTACCCCAGAATGGACACCCCCAGCCCACATGGCCCTCAGGGACCAGGCATGACATTCTGGGCCCCTGGATATGGACCCAAAAGAGCTGTGAGTTGGAGCTGCACTGAAAAGTTGTGGCAGGAAATTTTCAGAAACTCTGTGCCTGGATGTCCAAGGAAGAAAGGGCTGTTCCCACACAGATGGTGGGAAGGAGGAGGGCCAGAGAAGCTATGTGGACTGCCCAGCTGCCTGCATTTAAACTGGGCAGAACCCTTGTGGGCCAAACCTTGCTTGCTGGATAGCCTTGCTGTGAGCAAAGGGAGGGCTGACTCTGCTAATGCCTACATACCTGCACTGGTGAGGGCTGCTACTAGCTACACCTGGGCTTCCACTTAATAGGAACAGCATGCTCATTAGGTCCTTCTTCCCCGAGTGCAATGTCCTACGTGCAGGACATGCTCATGTTGCTCACGTAGCAACACTGAGTTCTGTGAAAGGGCAATTAAAAACAGGCTGAACTCTCTTTTCTGTTTATTTTCAGGTAAGTTCAGAAAACAGAGAAAGGCAAAAATTTGCAGAATCACAGACTGGTTGTGGTTGGAAGGGACCTCAGAGATCATCTGAAATCATCTGCTCCAGCAAGGACACCTAGAGCACGTGGCACAGGGTGACATCCAGGCGGGTTTGAAGATCTCCAGAGAAGGAGGCTCCATGACCTCTCTGAGCAGCCTGTTCCAGGGCTCTGTCACCTTCACAGGAAAGTTCTTCCACATATGGAGATGGAACTTCCTGTGTTTTAATTTGTACCTATTACTCCTTGTCCTGTTGCTGGCCACCACCAGAAACAGTTGAACCGCATCTTCTTTACATTCTCCCCTCAGATATTTGTACATGTTGATAGATAACCCCTCAAACTTCCCTAGGCTAAACAGACCCAGCTCGCTTGGTCTTTCCTCATATGATGGATGCTCCAGTCCCTTGATCATCTTAGTGCCTCTATTCTGGACCCTCTCTAGAAGCTCCACATCCCTCTTGTCCTGGGGAGCCCAGAACTGCCCCAAATACTCCAAATGCGGCCTCACCAGAGCTGAGTAGAGGGGGAGGATCCCCTCCCTTGACCTGCAGGCAACACTCTTCCTGATGCAGGCCAGGATCCCATTGGCCTTCTTGGATACGAGGGCACATTGGTGCCTCATGGTTAATTTGTTGTCAATCAGGACTCCCAAATCCCTCTCCACGGAGCTGCTTTCCAGTAGGTCACCCCCAAATCTGTACTGGAGCCCGAGGCTATTCCTCCCCAGATGCAGGACCCAGCACTTGTCCTTGTTGAACCTCATGAGGTTCCTCTCTGGCTAACTCTCCAGCCGGCCTAGGTCCCTGTGAATGGCAGCACAGCCCTCTGGTGTGTCAGCCACTCTGCCCAGCTTTGTATCATCTGCACTCTTGCTGCGGGTGCGCTCTGTCCTCTCAGCCAAGTCACTGATGAATAAGTTGAATAGCACTGGATCAAATACTGACCCCTGGCCACAGACCTCCAAAAGGAAGCAGGTCTACAGGCACCCAAGGCCAGTAGTTACCTTTGGGAACTCCCATGCGTGTTAGTGGGGAGCCACAGGAGAGCTCACCATCATCCATGGATACATGACAGATGCAGCCTCCTGCGAGGGTGTCCGTAAGCCTGGCTACCCTCACCATCTCCGGCCCTGCCCTGTTAGGATGACAATTTGTAAGGCAGCAGCTAACCCTGTGATTGCTTACCGAGTTCCTGGTCCCAGGCCTCAGGGGCTGGCCTTGGCCTGTGCCTGCTGGTCAGCTCCTAGCTTCCTCAAATTCACAATTGTTTTGCTTACAAAATTTGAGCAGAAATAAGCTCTCTGAGGGGATATTTATGGCTCTTACTTCCCTGTTAGAAATGAAACAATTAGATAAAAAACAGAGCAGAAGATGAGAACCCAAGCTAGGCTGGATGTGCCCTCCTGTTTCATTCACTCTGGGCTGGAGGCACCACGCATCTTTATCTCTCCAAACAAGTTCAGCCCACAGCCTGATTGAATCTCTAAACACTCCCTAGTATTTCTGAGCAATTCTTTTAGGGCCTCCGGTCTGTGCCCTTCAAGACAGTGATGAAACCAGAAAGTCCTCCTCTATCCTGGTTACTGCTCCTCCTGTGTGGACTCTTCTATCGTATTGACTGTAAAATCTTTGTCCACACAATCTTCTTAACATGTTTGACTTACTTACTGATAACTTCCAGGAAAGTCGTGCTAGCTTTATCCTCCATCAGATCGATGGTTGCTTTATAGACCCCGCTGTCAGTCTCTTTTAGGTTTTGCAAGAGAAGAGAGCTGTTCTTTGGATAGAAAACCACTCTGTCTTGGTAAGCTGAGTAGATAGTTGGAGACTGTGAATCAGCGTAGTACTGCAGGATGAACACAGGAGTGGTGTTTTTTATGTATTCCCACTCTATGAGGTTGATGTTCTTGGTATCTGGTGCGTGCAACAGCACTGAGGATCCTTCAGCTACAACTCTTTTTTCTGTGATTTCCACTGCTAAAGTGCACTGCAAAATGAAAAACAGACCTGCAGAGAGGAGAAATGTCAGAGAAGAATGAGATATCAGCAAAGCAAAAACCAAAGAGAAACCTAAACTGTTTGCACAAGTCCCCACTCTATTCCTGAAGCATTTTATGTCATGTCTGACTTCTTTCCTCCCCCCGCTTTTTTTTCTTTTCTTTTCTTTTTTCTTTCTTTTTTTTTAAAAAATGAGTGTTCTGACCACTGTGAAACCAATACTCACGTTAAGTTTATATCTCATCAAGCTCTTAGAGGGGGTTAAGCACTGCAAAACCAGAGGCCACTCCAGTCCCAAGCCTCCCCAAATCATCATTCTGGAGCTCCTTTTGGTGCATTCAATAGGTTAGATGGGTTGCTAAAAGCAGACTGAAAGTAACCCTCTGGCCTAAGCACAGAGAAAAGAATGAGGGAAGAGACACTCATGGCGCAGTAACTGGAAGACACATCATCTCTGGAGAGTAACCAGCAGACATATCATGAGCACAGGATACAGGAAACTGCAGTGGTCTTAGAGAGACTCACAGAAAAGCTATCCTTAAGCATGCGATAGAGGACCACTGCCTCGTAGGAGGTGGCAGTAGTGTCCAGGAATGGTGATGCTGAAGCATTTGAGACCATTGGGAGGGAGGGAGACATCTGCCCTGAGGAGTGGCAGTGTGTGACATGGGCTGACCACGCGTGCCCCGCTCTGAGCCAGCTCCTCCGTGAGGCTGAGCCCAGGTCAACAGGACATTACCTCCGAGCAGCATCCACTTTTCCTCCATAGGCTCCCACAGACAGATCAGCATCTGGCAGGAAAGGCAGCAGTTGTTTACAATAAAGAACTCACCACAGAGCGAAAACAAATGTCACCATCCTGATTTTTAGTTGTGTGATATGCATGTGATGTTAAATATCAGTGACCTCAATCTAACCCAGTCTGAGGCTAGCAAAAACTGCAACGACCCGGTTTGGAAAACGGTTCTTTAAAAATCCTCTTGCAACTGCCAATCCTTCTGTAATGAGGGAGTGGTGCTGGCTTGGACTGTGTTTTGCAAGCAACTCCTTGCCATTCCCCTCCTAGGTCAGCAGGCATTTGGAGTTCATATTAAAAAGTAAAAGTAATTCATGTCTTTACATCATCGCCAATGTTTTGTTTAAGCCTTGTTTAAGTCAGGGGTTGCTTAAATCTCACAACAAGGATGGGACTGTTTTTAGTTTCCTGAAAGAGAAATTTTTGTCTTACACGAGGTTCAACAGTGATGAATCTTTGCAGGCTGAGGGGAAGGGCTGTCAGCAGGAAGAAGTGCTCTTTCTGCAGAGGTGGTGGTGGTGTCGTTACAAGTTTTAACTCAAACTTACACTAGCAGCAAATGGGAATCAGACCCATAAATACATACATGCCTAAGTCTATAACATTTCTCCTTTAGTCTGTAGCATCTCCTCTGTGTTTTGTTATCCTTATGCTTATATATTTGCATTGGTATATTTATTGATAGTTTTATTGCTATTTCCATATGGAAAAAGGTCTCTAAGGCAGAAACACAAATAGCAACGCTCTTGACCTTCAGCACGTTACAAAGGAGTCGCTTTGCGGCCCTCCACTACAGTGTTCATTGTGCCCCCTGCTCATCAGTCACGGGAATTGAGTCGCATACATTCTGGATGCATGTCCAGCTTTTAGTACAGATGAGATGCGTATTATCAGATGCGTATTATCAGATGCTTTCCAGCTAATAGAGCTTGTTATGTGGCTTATATTACCCCAGCCCCAGATACCCAAACAAACATGCTGTTTATATGCACAGGAATCACGATGACGAAGATGAGCGTGTACACATGCAGCATGACAGAGGGGTCTTCAAGACCCTCTGTGAGGGGTTTTGTGAAGCAGCAATGCAACATCAGTCCCTTGAAGAGCAGCATGCCATGTGTGCCTCGATATATGCCTATATCATGCAAATGATATAGGCTCCTTTGCCGCCTTCTCCCCCCACACTGCACATAGCTTACAGCTGTCCCTGCCTAAAATTAAACGATAAAATAGGCATTCTGCACACAGAATTAACAGCTGTACAAGAGCATAACTGATTGCAGCCATCAGGAGCCCACGCTTTCCAGCCTTCTCACTCTGTATCATCTTTTGAGCACCCACATCAGCTCCCCAGCTATTTGCTCCCCAGGGCTGCTGAGGACGCCTGGCCTCATGCAGGGTGCGGCCACTTGGCCACTGGACTTCTCTGGATGTGGATAAACAAAAGAAGTGAAGCCACCCAGCCTCGTACAGGAGTGCTATGTCCTCCTAAAAAATACATCGACTGGAGCGAGAAATCATTGGTGGCAACCCTGCATGTACTTTCCTCTGGCCTTCTACACTGCTAATACTGTACTAGGAAGAAATAGAAGCTTTGTGAGATTGGAAAGGACCTGGGACCATCCATGCCCAGCCCAGGGAGTGCAAACACACACACACACACAGTGGTCCCACCTGGCACCGTCAGGTCCTTCAGGAAGGCCACAGCAGAAGCATCGTGGCAAATTTGCTCCCACTCTCCCTGATGTCTGCAGAGGCATGGTCAAGAGAAGAATGGCTGGCAGGGCGGGTTACAAACACAGAAAAAAAAAGGGAAAATGCTACTCACCAGGAACGATCAGCAACTGAAGACAGAAGAAATACATGCAGATCAAAGCTCTGTTTCCTTCCAAAAGCAGCAGAAATGCAAAGCAGTGAAAATGCAAAACCCGTCCCTATAGGTTCACAGAAAGCTCACGAGAAGGGAAGTGACTGTTGCACCAGTCTTGCAGAGAAAAACCCGAACTGTGCCCTCAAACTGTGAGACAAGTTCTCTTCCCTCCTCACAAACAAATGCTGTGATCGGCACAGACCGCAAATAGACATGACGAACTCCTCCACGGGCCAGCCAAGCTTGCTGGACTCACATCTAGCAAACCCATGGCAAAGGGAAAGCTGTCCTGAAGCAGCTCTGTTCTGGAGCTGGTAGAAGGGGGAGAGCAGCCCCCCTCTCCGGCTCCGGCTGGCCCCAAGGGCCCCGATGCTGTCAGGAAGAGGAGCAGGGAGGTGAGGGGCTCTGGCATATAAGAGAGTTGGGGAAGCCCTTGCAGAGATGCCCTGCTAGCAGGGGAAAGGGGAAGGGAGGGGAGGATGTGCTGGAATAAACACGTATTTTATTTAATATGTAGAGGACAGCTGGAAGGGGTGGGCGGAGAGAGGGGAGAAGCACAGAGGGAGGGAGCGCGTGCACCATGGAGCCCTGCTCCCGCGGGCAGCACAGCAGAGCCCTTCTGTGATCACTCACCCCGGGCAGCTGGCGCAGAGCCCAGAGCTGGCGGAAGCAGAGCACCATCTTAAAACTGCAAAAATAATGCAAAATAAATAAAATAATGTTCGGCCCTGGAGCCAAGCTCCTCTCCTGCTGTTGCTGGCTCCTTACTCTGTCCACTCAGTGGTTGCTCCTCTCCTCGCTGCTGGGAAAGGCTTGGCAAGCCCTGGCACAAGAGCATCCTTTGCAGAGGGCTGGTGTTGGGGAGGAAGCCATCCTCCCCACAGGAGGAGCAGGATACGATCACCCTCTCAGGGTGCCCCTAACAGCACTCCTGGCACCTTGACAGCTGAGGGTGACAGTGCAGATCCTCTACCTACCTCCCGTCTATTGAGGAAGCAGAGGGGCAGCTGAGCCATCAGTGGGAGAAGTAGCAGCCCCACACATTGCACACACCTGTGTCTCATTCTTTCTCCTCCAGGCACCGGTATTGGAGCAGCAGATGTTAGCACTTCATTCTGCACCTAGCAATGAGAGCTCTGTTCCCAAGTGTTTTCCATCAGGCATTTAGAAAATTACGAGCTTTCAGAGGCTTCATCCTTTCATTCAGTCGCCAGGTGGAGTTGGAGTTAGGGCCATAGCTACCACCTAAGTGCCTGTGTGAGCTTGATGCATTTTTCCAAAGGAGAAGACCTGCTTTGTGTTGCTCGTGTTGCTCTTCAGGAGAACATTTAAAGATGTTCAGACGTAAAGATGCCCAAAGACATTGAAAGATGTCTTTGGAGACATTACCAGGGGCCTCCATCTCCCAGCTTCCTCCACCTCAGGCGTTTTTGGTTTCTCCAAGGTAGAGCTTGGTGTCCCAGAGTCACGAGCTGTGCACCACGACTCCCTGGCTGGGGGCACCTTCTCCCAGCTCCCCCTGTGATCACTTCTGTGCTCATTTCACCTCAGGAACAGATGCTCTCTTTTTATAAGCATTCCAAACCTCAATCCCAAATGAACAGTGCTCTTGCTGAAACCTTGCATCTGGCCTGCCAGCAGGACTTCTTCTATTTTTTTTAACCTTAATTGTATTATGAAGACCACACAGACCTACAAAGTCAATAAGTTACTTACGTTCTCAGCTGCTACCAGGCAACTGAGAAGTCAGGCATAGACAAGCGTACATGATCCATATCTCCCGGGTGAGCTTTTTCCATCAGTTGCCACATAAAGTCACAAGGAAGCTCTATGGTTGCATTCCCTTTATCATTATATCGTTAATGAAACATCAGCAGACTCATGTCCACTTTCCCTTGGGCTGGTTGTCAGGTTTCCTGCATACAGTACGGCACGTGCTCCATTACCTTAGCATGAATACATAAATGGGAACTGGGAGGACACCTGAAATGTCATAGAAATGGGTATATTTTTAGTCCTTACCTTTAAGACTGTTGCAATCTCGTACTCTCAGATTCTGGTAAGAAGCTGACGTGACGCTGGGGAAACGAAAGCCACAAGGAGCCCTGTGGCCTCTCACAGTTTAATGCTCCTCAGCCTCAGGGAGCTCTGAAGACTCACTAGGAGAGGAACTTCTCAGCTGCAGTTTCTCTTTATCTGAACAGCGACAACTCGTGCAGTTTCACTGCATGGGGGTGAAACAACAGGCAGCTCAGTGTCTATCCCCAGCTTCTTGATTTTAGTGGACATTTTTCTTCATGGCGCCATCTTCTTTACTTTCTATTTGCAACCCAGTTGCATGCTTGTCCTAAGTTAGGTTTTTGGAGAGGGGGGTCCCTGAAAAGGACCATTCCCATGGAAGTTGACAGTTTTTCCCCAAGGATTTGATAACAGCTCGGGAGCAAACAGTTTTTCCCCAAGGATTTGATAACACAGGCTCAGGAGCAGTTGTTTCTCTATGCTGTGGGGAGGCTGAGGAGCAGAGCTGAGACCTCCCCTTCCCAGCGCCAGCATTGCCCCAAGCCATGGGCAGGAGGACAGTCTCTGAATACGTAGCATCCATATCTTGGCCTCCCTGAGGTGCAAAGCTGTTGTTGTCTGTTTTAAACGTGTCAGAGCTGGGGCCCTGGTACCACTTCCTGGAGGAGGAACAGCAAGCACCATCCCTCATGGGCATTTACATTTAACTGGGTAGATTCAAGAGCATGGTAACATCCCATCATGTCATCAGAAGCTGAGTCGTCAGCAGAAGGGAGCTGAATGTGGTGGGCTGCTAACTACCTGCCCCAAGCTCTGAGGCAGGACAGTTGTCTTCTGGCCTCTACAGACACTGCCCCGTCGGCAGAGGTGGTGGGGGAAAAGACTCTTTTGGGGTAGCAAATCAGTGTGACCCTCTGTGATCCAGCAGGCCCAGGGCAGGCAGCGAGGGGGATGCTGGATGGTAAGGAAGCAAGGGGGGATGCACAGAGCCATAGGATTAGCTGGTAGAGAGCCTGAGCCAACAGGCACTGAGACTGCCCATGCAGCAGGTAGCCAGGGGCAGGCACAGCCCCACGTTGCAGCAGGGAGGGGAGGGGTGATTTGGCTACCCCTGTGTGCCTAAAAAAGGATGCAGCCTCGTTAGTGCAAGAAATGAATGGAGCAGTGTTTCAGCTACTTCCTTGTTTGGAAGTAACATTTCTTTATTTGCACTTTATTTTAGAGAGATAAAAATGAACCCTCAATAGCAAAACCGAAAAGGAGTAGACTTGTTTAATTGCCATTATATATATATATATAAATAAAATAAAGATCACTCTTTTCTTATTACAAGGGGCTCAGCCCAGTGAAACTCAGACAGCGACAGACACCCTAAGCAGGGAGGATGTTTGCAGTCACTAAACCCATACAAGAAACACTTCCAGCCTCTAATGGGTAGAAACAGGATCCCTGATGGCGTCGAAGAGCCTGCAAGGAAGAGTTGGTGAGGTATGTTGAGCATCACTGGAGTTGTCCATTGGCAGCAATGTGTGGGACTGAACCTGGGCTCATCCTGTTCTTTAAAGGAGAGCACTTTGTCCTCTGGCAGCCTCACAGGCCCCTCCAGCTCCATGGACATCTCTCAGGGCCCCAGGGCTATGTGAACGACCAGCCAAACATGTGCTGGTGATGGCGTGTTGGACAACCCAGAGAGCTGGAGATCCCAGCAGTGAGTGCCACGGAGCTGTAACACTGTGCCTGCTGTGTGGAGGGATGGGCAGGATGGTGCCAAGCAGCTCCTACACCAGGCAGAGGCAGGAAGAGGGGTGAAGTTGCCTCTCTCCATGCCCCCCTATTTCCAGGCTAACAGCCGTATCAAGGCAGTACAAATGGCCTTGTTCCTCTGCAGGTGTCTTTGCCCAAGGCTGTTTTGGCAGTGGCAAAGAGTAGCTGAGGTGTTGTTGGTGAGGCTGGGACAGGAGTGGGACGTCCCCTGGGACTCTTCTGTGATGCTCGCACATTGGCTAAGCCTCAT